TTTTTTTTTTAATTTTTTTTTTTTTTTTTTTTTTTTTTTTTTTTTTTTTTTTTTTGGGCACTCGTAATTGGCTTTAGGCCATTTAAGCGCTGAGCCTCACTTTTGTTAGTCACTTTTTGGAACTGTTCGCAGGCACTGCACGCGTGTCCTTTCCGCTCACGGATACAGCACTAGACTGAGCTTAGCATGCGGCCAGCGCTGGCTTTTAAGCTGGCACGACTCCTGCGAGTCGCTAGTTCGAATTTCGAATATGTTTGAGCGCCTGCGCGCACAGAGAGAGACGAGAGTGAGAGAGAGCGAGCTCTGGGTTGTCTTTCCTAATAGAGCTCCCACTCACGCTCCCTCTCTATCTCACTCTCTCTCTCTCTTTCTCTGTGAGCGCGTGTCTCCTTGGCGCTTTTCTCTGGCTTGTTTTGTTATTATTATTTTCGCTTATCGCTGCTGTCGCCGTTGTCATCACCTGTTTGCATTTGGGTAGTCCTTGAAGTCGACTGTTTGCAGTCGCACGCATGTGGTGCGCCAGGATTATGTCCTGTCCACGCAAACACAAACAAACACAAGCACACAAACACACACACACACAGAAGCAGTTGCTTAAGTAGCAGCTTTGCGTAGACAATCGGGACAGCTTAGGCCACATCAGCAGAGCACCTGGCCGACTGCCTCATTGACTTTGGCTGTTGTCGCCTGCTGGCCTCTGGCAGACAAACCACATTATGTAATAATGTTTCACTTGTGCCTCGCATTTGCTTGGCATGCCCGGCCAGGGGGCGTGGGTGGGGCTCGCCTGGTCAGTCTCAATGCTGCGTGTTAAACTTCAAATTAATTGCTGCCGAAAAATAGTCCTTATCAATGGTGTGAGTGGACAACTCTGTCTGCTGCAGACCACAAACCCAACAAGCAGCACGTTTGCCACAGCCAGCAGCAGGAGTGGCAGCAACAACTGCAGTAACTGCAGCACATACACTCGCAGAAAGAGTTGAACAGAGAGAGCCTTTTTATTGTTAGAATTAGCTTAGTTATTTTTTTGAAGTTGGACTTTTGTATACCCTATAAAGCACTAATATACAAAATAGGTTCAATTTTTTTGTCCTATCTAAAAATCATATAATTTTTTTTATTACAAAAATTTTCTGCTACGTTTAGTAAAAAAATAAAAATAAATAAGTAAAATAAAAAAATATTAATCATTTAATTTTTATAATTTCCTATCTAAAAATCATATTATTGTTTTGATTGAAAATTCGTATATTTTATTAAAAAAGTTTTCTGCTACGTTTAGTAAAAAAAAATTTTTTTTAAATAAATTAAAATAATCATTGAATTTCTATTATTTAATATTCATCACATGAGCTAGCTGTATTTCGCATTACTTCAGTTTTCTCTCTGTGCACAAGAGTTAGACAAGGTCAGGTAGGTTCGAGTGGGTGTGTGTGCGTGTGTGTGTGTGCATAAAAGTCATTAAGTGTGGCCAGCAAGTGCAGGGCGCATACAAAAGCTAAGCAATAACAACAATAGCAAGCAACGTGAACAACAACATCAAAATTGACGCCGTAACGAGGTTCATGTTTAATGGCCTTGTTGTTCGCCTGGTCTCTGGTCCCTGGTTCCCGGTTCCCGGCTCCTGCTGCCTGCCGCCTGCTGGTGACTGGTAACTGGTAACTGGTGACCGGCGACTGGTGACTGGTGCCTGGTGCCGGGTTTGCTGTTTTGCCGGTTCAGCAACAAAGGCAAAGGCAGCACCGAAAAGGACATGCACTAATATCGTTTCAGTGCCGTTTGTCCTTAGGTCCTGGCGTCCTTTAGGCATGCACGTTGTCACCGTATCTCGCTGTCGCTGTCGCAGCTTGAACCTGACACAGAAAATTGTATTTTAATGATGGGGCACAGCGACTGGCACCCAACCCCACACTCTCACTCTCTCTCTCCTCTGTCTCGCTCACTCTGTCTGGCGCTGTGCACATTCAAGATGTTAATAAAGCGACACACGTTGCAGGCTGCGCTCTAGCTGCTGGCTGCTGGCGCACAACGCAACTGCATAATGAAGTTGTAACTTGTACTTGCAACAGAGGGCCATTTTTTGGGGGTTTGTTGCCATTTTATGGCGCTGCTGCTGCTGCTGCTGCTTCTCCTGCTTCAGCTGGCAGCAATGGCAGCCGCACCTGCTGCATACCTGCAGTTGGCATCCGCCTCAGTTGGCATGCAAATTGTTGTATTGCATTGTTGCACTGTTTAGATCTCTGCTCTCTCTCGCTCGCTCCCGCTCTCCCCCTTTTTATTCCTCCCGCTCTCTTATTTCTCTATAGCCCAGCTTGCATCCCTTTGAGCTGCTACTACTCCACTTTATGTGTAGTGCGCTCTTCACAAGCTTTGCATTTTATACCCTATGCCCCAAAGAGAAATAGTGTAGGTATATTGGGTATTGAAGTTATATTCTTTTGTTAGAAATATTAAACCCTAATTGAATTTGGAAAGTCAGACGAGCTTTCTCTGTGATTTGCATGATTTGATTAGTATGAAAGGGAATTTTAGGAACTCTTGGATAAAAAGGAAATATGATTGAATAATGATTATTATTTATAGTTCAAAGAGATCAGAAATTCGATATATATCGTCTGCTGTAGATTATAACTTTCTTTACAAGACTTTTTAAATTAGAGTATAATTTTTTATAAAAACAACAAAAATATATATATATACATATATACATATATTACACACAAACAATATATTATGAATTTTCTAAGTTTGCCTGCAAAATCTTTACCTAAGCACAGAGTATCTCATAGTCTGTCTACAGCAGACGCCGCATTTTTCCTTGTTATCAAGTGTAACTGTGTGCGTGTGGCTGTGTCTGTGTGCGTGTGCGTGCGTGTGTGTGTGTGTGTGCAGTGTATTTGAAGTGCACTTGTTTGTGCATTGCTGCAGTCGTAATTATTGTTAATGGCCATTTGCCAAGCGCTTGTTGTTCTGACTTAAATCAGAACAAATTCATTTGAGGTGGAGCCAAGCCACTCATAAAATGATTCACAACTGAAGTGAGTCATTAACAGGGCGCATCGCCAATCTCTGAGTGGGCCCACAGTCACAATTAGCGCTGCCTGTCTTAACGCTCGATTGAACTAGACCGGAAAAGTATCTGTATCTGTATCTGTATCTGTATCTGTATCTGTATCTGTATCTGTCTCTG